AGGGCGAGACGTTTTCTTATTGCCGGCAACAAAAATTGTTTGGTGGGGAACTACGAAAATACTATTTTGCCGAAAAATATATCTTTTATTCAAAAAGGCACTCATGTGCGACACTGCCCTCGTATATCTTTTGTTTTTAATTGAATGATTTGGGAAACTGGATTTAAAAGCTGAAAGTAGTAAAATTCGATGCTTTTGTGGAAAAAAAATATTTTACTCGAAAGATATCGTAATAGGCGGCACACAAAATCGTAAAAATTGCTAGAGAATTTTCAGGACTAAATTCTATTACAGCCAAAAAACATCTCCAAAAACCACGCCTAGCCGTTCTAGAAGCTGTGTAATTGGCGCACTAAATGTCTCTGTCAAGCGAATTAGAAAGGAGGTTACTGGCAACAGGAACACTCTCTTTTTAGTTATATTAGAAAAAACTTTCACAAAAAAAAAAGAAATTAATTTTCCTACATTAATATAGTATGTATGTATGCATGTAAGCCATTTTCATATTTTCAAGCAACTTAAATTTAAAATTCCCAACGGATTTCCTTGTCAATTACAAGCCAACCAACACTTTCATGTGTTGTAGAAATTTTCAAGGACATCCGCAGGAAACATTTAAAAAGTATTTACATACATAAATACATAAACGAACACGAGACTGTTTTATCAAAAATGTCATGTTTCCCACACATCTATCTACATATATTTTTTGTTCGTATTTTCTTGCGCTACGGCGATTTACACATCCTTTCATATGAAAAGCTGTCAGAATGAAAAACTTTCCAGACGGAGAAATTTTTAAGTGACAGACAAACGAACAAGCGAGTGCAAAATAAACGGACAAGGGTGTTGAGGGCGTTGCTATCTATGCGGGAGACGGCCTTGCTGTCACACCTAAAACGAAAAGCTGCCACAGTAGGAAGCAAAGCGTAACGTAGAGTAGCAGAAACAGAACAATAGCGGTACATTTCACAGCAGCAAAAGTTTGGGGAGGGACTGGAGAGGCAGAGCAAGAATAAGTGAATCGTAGGAGTTGCAAGCGGCAGAAATTGAAGTATATGCCAGTGCATTGTTTCATTTCGCTTGCATCTCGAACTGCTGTTGATTGTTAGGGTTATGAATACTTTATGCAGAGCGGATAGCGGGATACTAGTGGTAGAGAGAGAGAGAGTAAGGAGCGTAAACGGCCAGGCATTGTTGACAGTAGGGACTCGCTTTTCATTGGAATAAAGTGGAAAGTGACATAGAGAACAAAAGATTCCCACTTACTGCGTTGTTATAGCGAAAGCAAACGAAAAAAAAAGGTTTTATTATTTTTTTGTGGAAATTGCAAATTGGAAAAATTTAAAGCAAAAGATAAAAATTTGAATTTGTAAAAAAAATTGCTTTGACAGTCTTCGCTGCAGTTTTCATTCCATCACCATTTCTTCCTCTTCCTCTTCCTCTTCCTCTTCCTCTTCCTCTTCCTCTTCCTCTTCCTCTTCCTCTTCCTTTGCTTGCATACTAAATGCATAATAACTTTCAATCATATTGATTGACATGCTGCTTGTATTCCAAACAACTGTATTGAGTGCAACCAATCTGTTAGTAAATGCAAGTGTTTGCAGCAGTCAGCAATCTTCTTTGAGACAACTGACTGCACAAACTTTTCTTACTTGTTGTATGTATGTATGCAATTCTTGTTGCGAACAAAACAAAGAAAGAGCAACGCTTTCAAAGTTCACTCGCCTTTTGCTGTCGCAACTGTTGTCTGCTGTAAAAGGTTGCTGCTCCCGGCATTGGCTACTGTTTGCGAAATTCTGCTCCATCTTCTTAAATGCCAGTAAAGTCTGCGAAGGTGATGCATTAGATGCCAAGTGGGCATAACAGCAGTTACTTCTTTATTAAATGCCAGCAAATTGCCGCCGCACAAAGCCTGAAAACGAGTAGAAAGGAAGGACCAGTACAAGTTATGCAAAGTATGAAACTCCAAGAGCTCACGTAGTCTGAAAAAGAATCAAAGCTCCAGGGAACGGCGCTTGCTACCAACGTTGAGCGCGTTCAATTACAAACATACACGCTGGAATACTTATTTTGCCATTTACACCAAAAGTTTTCGACGCCTGCCAGTCTCACATTTTCACTTTCGCTTTCGCTTCGACACTGTGTGCATCATATAAACTAACAACTTATTTATTCTTTCGAGGTTATCATAAATCTCAGCTAATTTACGCGTATTTGAGTATAATTTTATATACATACCAACTTATGTATTACTTAAGTATATATGCACATTAGGGTGGATCAGCTAAAAGTTTCCACCGGAATAATAAAATGTATTATATTTTAAGACTTCCGTCAAAATATCTCGGAAAAGAAACTAAGATTTACATGAGCTGGACCCTTTTGAAAATGTCTCCAAAAATCTCGTTATTTTGATTCCGTTGATAAACTTCAAAAAAAAGGTATGCACACCTTTTAAAGCTAAGCTCTTTTATGATCCTAGGTAGTTTGTTAGAAATATCATTTCGAAAAACCAATTTATTTAAAAAAATCGATTTTTTGAGGTATTTTCAAATGGGTCCAGGTCACGTAAATCTTAATATTTTCCCGAAATATTTTGGCGAAGTCTTAAAATATAATAAATTGTTTAACTCCGATGGAAAAACAGCACCAATTATTTTTTGTGTAGAGTGATATGTACACCCTAATGTGCAACATTGTTCTCTTTTTAGAGCCAATGTTTTGTAAGGATAGAATGTATAAACCCATACATACATACAATAAATATCTTTATGAGTTCGCTTGCGTGAAACCTTCAGCTTGTAAGCGCCAAGCAAGCGAAATATGAAAAAGTTTCTTTACGACCTAGCACAGACAAAGTGTCGGCGTATGGGAAATGGGGCCAGCCAGGTCGGCGACACTGCTAACGTTATTGTGTCAGGTAAAGAAAGAAATGAAACAAAAGTTCATAAGCAGGAGTAAATGATACGAGAAGTGTATCAATGAGAGTTTCAATTATCACAATGAGTTATGGGAAATAAAAGTCGTGATAACGGAATTAATAAAACATTATCTCTACATACATAGTATATTCGACCACGCAATGCGACCCGAACCCAAAGGAATAACACCTAAGAAAATCAGTTCTCATCTCCTGAGGTTAATATACCTTTCTAGGATCTTTCAAAACGTTCGGAGCTGTAAGAATAAATTCAATGTACGCTTTTTTAGTGTTATACAGGCTCAGATTCTTTAAACTCAGCCCCTGCCGCCAGTTGCGATCCATTCGTCAAGCAGTTCGCTGCTCCCCCTCCAGATTTTCGCCCCACCCAAACTTTTCTTGAGGGGAAAATGGACAGAGAAGAAGCTCCTAGCAGGTTTATTCTGCACGTGACCAAAGATTTCATGACTGGAAACTTTTACTATCAAAAAATGTTACCAGCTATTGTCACCGCGATTCTAGGTACATTGGTAATTTGTTTAAAATATTCAGCCATTCAGCTATAAGAATTGTGGAAATTTTAATATTGCATATTTCACGGGGCAATACTTTGTAACCAGCTTGTGAGATGGTAACGATATTTACCAGTTACAAGAGTACACAGAATGCGAAAAGGGTTTAAAAATTTACACAAACTGTATTTACAGGTGCGATAAGAGAATAGATCGAAATCCTCTAGAACGCCAGAAAGTCTAGTCCTTAAGCCGGTCAACCAATCGGTTTCCCCTGAGTTTTGCCTGCTGTGTCGGCAGGCGCCATGTTCAGCATTACGTTAATTGTCAACCTCTGGGTGGCCCGCAGTGCTCCACTAATACTAATTAAGGTATCCAGTTTTACGCGCTGCAACTGTTTAGCTAGTATAGCCTTCACAAGTGAGTTTCCCCAGTCTTCTTCTTATTCTTATTTGACGCTGTAACCGCTTAAGCGATTTCGGCCGAGTTCAGCAAAGCACGCTCGTTTGGAGCCAAGTCCATCTCCACTTGGTCTTTCCATCGCAGTGGGGGCGTCCATCATCCTCTGCTACCACCAGCGGGTTACGAGTTCAAAAACTTTCTGAGCTGGAGCGTCTGTGTCCATTCCAACGACAAGGCCAAGCCAGCGGAGCCGCTGTATCTTAATTCGCCGCACTACATACGTCTATGTCGTTGTAAAGCTCATACGGCTCATTGTTCCATCGTCTTCGGTACTCGTCGTTGCCGTTGCAAATTAACAAATCTTCCACAAAATATCTCTCTCGAATACTCGCCTCATCGGATGTTGTCATCGTCCATGATTCAGCGCCATATACCAACACGGCCATGATGAGTGACTTATAGAGTGTGGTTTTACTCCTGTATTGCCTACTCAGTTCAAAGTAGCACTTGCTGGCAAGAGTGATTCTGCGTTAGATTTCAATGCTGACGTTATTTATTATCGGTGTTAATGCTTGTTCCCAACTAAACGAAATAGTCTGCTTTCTCGAAATTACAACTATCAACAGCGACGTGGGTGCCAAGGCGCGAATGAACTGCTGACTGTTTGCTTGATAACAGGAGATACTTCGTCTTGTCCTTGTTTACCAACAAAACCATTACCTTTGCTTCCTTATCCAATTTGAAAAAGGTGGAACTGACTTCACGGATCCTTGACGCCAGTATATTTTTTAAAAGGAGTTCAGTGAAGTTCGGAATAAAAGTATGCGTATCAAATGAAAGAGAAAGATTTGTAGCATATAAAAAAAATTTAATTTTTATAACATAAGGACGAGTAGGTATTGAAAATGTGTTTCTAAAATTGTGTCCTTAAATATCCTTGAATATTGCAAAATATACATTTTTGGAAAAATTATATTTGAAGGGCTAATATACACACCACCACATCCTAGTTTTTCGTCCTTATGACTTTATTAAAAAAAAAAATAATAATGATAAATTTTAATTTAAAATCAATACCTATTCTATAAGTCTACAGAATCTTCTCTTTCATTTGGTACATATTTTTATTTTACATTACACTGAATTTTTTAAATAATTTTTTAGAATTTATCATATCTTTGAAATTATAAAGTTCTAATAAAAAAATTCTAAAGCTAAAAACGCAGTTTTACTATATTTGGCCCATAGTGTCGTGAGCATATTGATTGCTTGATGTTTTGAAATTTTTTTTGTTTCAAACTGTTTCCATCTTTTTACTCAGAATTTTTAGAATAATTTTAGGTACGCAATTTTATAAGTATAGCCCATTAAGTTAAAGGAGGATAAAGTCCAAGTTGCAAGTGACTAAAAGTAACGTTGATTTTTTATAATTTTTTTGCTGGCGGTGTCCCACATTTTTTGCCAACAAAGTATGTTCGAAAATTTTTTATATGGAAGAAAATGCCCAGCATCATTTAAAACATTCCCAAAAATCAACGGGATTTTGTAGCTGCATGAAACTTGCATTTTATCCTACTTTAATTTAATGTGCTATGATACTGCGTTCCAAAAATTTTTCTAAAAATGCTGGATAAAAAGTTTAACATTTTGGCAATTTTTATAATTTTTGTACAAATTTTGAAATGCGCATTTAAATGCAGTTAATTATTTATAAAATGAGGTAGACTTCTGTAAAAAAAAAAATTAAGTATTAAATAAATAAAAGAAATATAGACTAAACTGGTTGAAGTAAGGCATTTCTTTTATTTCTGCCACTACTTCTTTCAGCCACACAATACAACTCAAAATTTGGCATTTTTGAGATTATGCGCTACAAATGTACGGAGAGCTTTTGTTTAATAATAATAATAATAGATTGGCGTGCGCCTTGATGTTGTCACACAAAGCGGAGGGACCTACAGTTCTACGCCGACTCCGAATGGCGATTGTATTTTTATGAGAAGTTGTTTTTCATGGCAGAAATACACTCGGAGGTTTGCCATTGCCGCCGAGGGACAACCGCTGTTAAAAAAAAACCTTTTCCTATATTTTTTTTGCGATATGTCTTTGACCAGGGTTTGAACCCAGGCGTTGCGGAGTGAAAGAGCGCACTGCTTACCACTACACCACAGCGGCCGACAAAGAGCTTTTATTTTCGTTTCAGCAATATTTGCAGCAAATTTTTCTTACAATTTGTTAAAAAAAAAACCTAAGGTAAAGCGCCCTTGCCCTTATGATTACCATGGGCTAAGAAATAGTTTGTTTTGCATTTTCTGAAAAACGTTTCATTTTGAGTTGTGACTCTTTTAAAGACGGTTTTTTTCGACATGCCTTAAGTTACTTTATCAAATATGTAACCGCCAAAGTAAATTCGTTTAAATTTAAATAATTACTGTCTTTTGTTGTTTTACAAATGACATATTTTTCAACTAAAATAATAAAGTAGATTTCAAACCCATTTATTTATTATTTATTATTTATTTATTTATTTATTTATTTAACGCCAATCGGCTTTATACATACAATAGAGAGAGAAAAAAAAAACGAAATGAACACAAAAATAGCATAACATAGGTATAATAAATTAACAATTGCATGGTAATAAGTAGGAACCAACTAACAACATACTGCTCTCTTAATTTTGTACAAGAATGAATTGAGTGTATCACCGAAAAAGTCTACTGCAGAACTTCGTTGACCAACTTGGCTACCCTATTACAGGGATCATTAATGACATAGTTTTTCGATGATTTCGTCGTGAGGAGTAGACGGTTCCTTCTCAGGCGTATATAAGGGCAGACTATACTAAATTTTTCAAGTACCTCCGGAGAGTCAATGAACCCATTGATCACTTTGAAGAAGAACGATAGGTCGTGTATCTGTCTTCGACAAGTCAAACTCTTTAAGTTGAACTGTTCCATGACTGCATTAGCGTTGGTTTCTCGGCCGTTGCGACGTTCAAAGGCAGATACAAATTTACAGAACTTGTATTGAATATTTTCAATTCTGTTTACAAGCGTATCAGTATATGGAGACCATACAACTGAGCAGTATTCCAGTGACGACCGTACTAGCGTTGAGTACAAGTTAATCAGTGTATCTGTATTGCTGAAATCCTTGCTCGATCTGATGATAAAGCTCATTGTCCGATAGGCTTTTAGAAGTATACTGTCAACGTGGCTACTGAAGGTTAGCTTGCTGTCTATAGTTACACCAAGGTCTCTCATAGTAGATACATTTTCTAGTAGATTGCGGCCTAGTGTATATTCAAAGCGACTTGGGTTCAGTTAGCGAGAAAATAACATTACGGTACATTTTTTTATGTTTAAATTTAGTTTGTTGACCAGGCACCAGTCATAAAGCTGGTTAATGTCCGATTGTAAAGCCTCACAGTCGGCGGCGCACGTTATTTGTCGGAAAATTTTTAGGTCGTCAGCAAACATTAAAAATTCCGACTTAATATTGTGACCAATATCATTCACAAAGATGTTAAAAAGCGCAGGGCCAAGGTGCGACCCCTGAGGTACTCCTGAGGTAACAGCGATCTCGTCGGAAGTGAACCCGTTCACTCTTACAACAAGTCTTCTACCGCACAGGTATGAGCGAAACCAATCTAAAACTTTGCCACGAATACCATAAAGACTTAGTTTGTCGATTAGTCTGTCGAGGTCAACCGTATCGAAGGCTTTACTAAAGTCGGTGTATATACTGTGAACGTCGTAACCCATACTCATAGACTTGATTATGTGGCTGACATACAAAAGCAAGTTCGATGTGGTCGATCTTCCGCCGATGAAGCCATGTTGTTTGGATGAGAGTACATTTTTCAAAGATGAAGATAATTTGGATAATACTATCTTCTCCAGCAGTTTTGCTAATGATGATTGCACACATATCGGTCTATAGTTATCTGCTTCCGATCTTGGGCCAGACTTGTGTATGGGGCATATAAAGGATAACTTCCATAGGGAGGGGAAGTAACCAGTCTGCAACGACTTGTTGAAAATATGTGTAATGGGCTCGCATAGCCCAGAAGCGCAATACTTTAATAATTGGTTAGGCAGACCATCCGGACCAGCCCCTTTATTTGTATCTAGAGCCAAAAGGTTATCAAAAACTTCGTCGAAATTGACCTCCAAGCTGGACAAACTTAGGTCGTTACAATCAGTGGTTACAGCATTGGTCGCGACCGGGGCGGTGGTTTGGTCAGTCGGATAAACACTCCTAAAGAAGGAGGCAAAGAGATTGCTGATTTCAGGACCGCAGTTCGCCGTATGTTTTCCCCAGGTTATCGTCGATGGTATGTCGAGATCGTTATTTTTCTTATTTTTAATGAAATTCCAGAATTCTGACGGGTTAGTTTTCAAAACGTTTTCTGCATTTGATATGTAATTTATGTAACACCTAGCACTAAGTTGTTTGGCCTCAAACCTTAAACGACGAAACGTTTCGTAGGAGTCTCTGGTCTTTTGCCGCTTGTAGTTATGGTGGGCTTCTTTCTTACGCTTGGTAACCTGTATTAACTCCCTGGAGAACCAACAAGGATAGTTATTACTCTTCCTTGTGTACATCGGCACAAACTGAACTAGACCAGTGTTTACTATATCATAAAACAAATTAACTTTATCGTCAATTGAGTCGATTTTGTATAGATCTATCCAGTTGGTCCTTGTGAAGAAACAGTTAAGGGATGCATAGTCGGCTTTTTTGAATGAGAAGGTGGGCGCGGAGTTGGACTTCAGACTTGATTGAAAGACTATGTTTACTCCAATTGCGGGATGATGCTTATCTTCATCAACGATGGGGAAGTTTTTTTCAACGCTTGCATCTGTGTTACTGAAGCATAAGTCGAGGATGCGATCGTTGGCATTGTATATTTTATTAAGTTGTTGACAGTTGGAAAGGTAGAAACCTTCGTATGCAAGTTTGGTGCAGTCATCTGGCGGCGAGCTACTTGGAAGATTATAATCACCCAAGATTAGAAGTTTCGAGTTAGGGTATTTGTCCGTTATACGATTTATTGATGAAATATGGTTTGAGAACAGGTCGATAGATGAAGAAGGCGGCATATAAACACAGCCAATTACAAGATCATAACTCTGGCCTTTCACCTTGACGAATATTTGCTCCAAAATGTTGTCTTCAATAATAATTTGTTCTGCCTGGATAACACGTTTGACAGCAATGAATACGCCGCCTCCACGTTCATGTGTACTGGTTGTGTGATCTCTGTCCTTTCTGAATATTTTATAGGTGCCGTCAATAACTTCGCCGTCGGAGATGGATGCGTGCAGCCAGGATTCGCTGATGCAGATGATATCAAGTTGAGTAGAAGCAGTAGTGGTTAGAAATGTGCTTAGTTTAGTTCTCAGGCCTCTGGCGTTCTGATAGTGCACATGGAGCCTCTGGACGGGGCTTATGCTTCCCTTGCGTTGGGTGAAAGGAAAATTTATCCACTATCTTCGGAACTCCATTTACGTACTTAATTGTTTTATTAGAATCACCACTTACCATCAATGTGTTTAATTCGCTGCGTACTTTTTTCAGGTGTGCTTGTTGCGCTGGTGTTAAGTCCGGTTTTATACGTATGTCGGTGCAAGATGGTGGTTTAAATTTCAGTATTGATCTAGCACTTTCGGAGGGGGCTTCTATAAGCATGGGACGGGTTTTCCCAGCAATTGGACGCCCCAACCTGCGAATTTTTAGCTCGGGAATGGTGTTGGAGAGCTCCTGTGGAATCAGTGGGACCAAGAGAGCACGATCGTCGCTTAAACGTTCAGAACCAGATGGTTTTTTAGACTCTGGAACGTTGAATGCGACGACTTGTTTAGCTCGTTTCCTACGTTCATTGATCTCAGCGATTACCTCTTCACTGCCTGGATCGCATGTACTGAACGTTGTTAATTTCGATTCAACGGTGCTGACCCTATCGTCTAGCTGTGTACACAATGTATTGAGTGAGTTATTTTGTTTGACAATGTTGTTCAGCTCCGACCGAATGGTAAGCAATTTGTTCTCGATGTCTTCTTTGAAAGCATAGAAATGTTTTTCGAACATCTTCTCCATTTTTCTAACGATTAGATCGTCATGGTCAACATGCTGATCGTCACCAACTATCACGCTAACCTCACTTTCGCAACCATTGCATTTCCACTTTAAGTTATTGTATTTGATGTCATTGGCAATTTTGTTGAATTCAACCTTATCAATCTTTGTACATTTTGCATGGATCCACTTGTTGCACTCGGTACAAAGTATACTGGAAGTGTTTTCTCTGATGTTAGCAAAGCAAACACCACATACATGGCGTATTGGCGCCATATTGGCTTTTAGCAGAATTATACAAATGCGACTTCCAATCGTAAGTGGTGGGCGTGGGAATCCAGTACTCGCCTGAGACTTTCTGGCGACGAATTGAAAATTGTTCACAATATTAAATTTTTTATGTTTATGTTATTCGGACACTAACTTTGCAAATTTTGCCTTTATTTCGTGTATTTTCGCACTGTTATATGGTAAGACATCTTCTCAAACTATATTGATGCAAGTTTTTCATGTAAATTTGTTGGAAAATAATGAATATCTAAATCCCAGGAATAATCCCGGGATCCCGGGATTGTATGAACGATGTCCCGAAAGTCCCGGGATCGCAAAAATCGAAAAATTAACATCCCTAATACATAGTATATGAACAAAATTTCGGAGTCGTGCATTCATCGTTGCGCTTTTAATGATAGTTTTAAACGTTTTTGAGATTAGGTTTGCATGGGAGGAATATGCTCAAGTAAATCGATTTTGCAAATTTTTTGTGTGTTTACTTGCTCTATTATTGTAAGTATACGGACGAAATTTCGAAGTCCTAACCTCATCGGTGTCCTTTGAATGACATTTTAAGTTAGGTATGTAAGGGAGGTATGTATGCTTTAAAATAAACCGATCACAACTCTTTTTCGTTTGGTTTCTTGATTTATATTCCTAGAGGTTACTCACGAAAAATTTAAGCCCTACGCTTCCTCCTTCTAATTTTCTCCAAAAAAATGTGTGAGGCTGAACCACTGTGCACCGTAATGACAGATTACTGTCCAATAAGAGCTCATGCGGTACGACTTAACATCACCTCCGAACCCTGTTTTCGTAGCTCTTTGGAGGATGACAAAAAGGTGTAAATTCAAAACTCAGATCTCTCTGAGGCGATCATCAACAGCTTCATTTTCGGCAAGTAGCATTTTTCCTAACAATCTTATGTACAAAGTTAGATTACTTACAGTTACCGTTGCAGGAAAAAGTTTCTTCTACTGCTATCACCCGGGAGGGGGGTGCAAGTTAAGAAGTGGGATAGAGCTATTAGGATAGAAATATTGTTTAATTACCCTTATTGTGTATGGGTTTTACCGAGCTCAAGCCTAGTGTAGCCGGATGAAGGGGTAGAGCTAGATGTAGCCCTTCTACCAATTATTCCATGAGTAAATCCTTTGGCTCTAGCTTCATGGGCAGCATTGAACCTTGATTGGAATGTGTGAAAAATGTGGTTGGGGATATCAGCGGCTTATTACTTTAATAATTTCTTCGGGAAGAAATTTGGGAAATTTATATAAATACATATCCCCTTATGCACATGGGTGGGTAGGTGTTCGCTTAATTTGGCTCAATAAGGGAAATGCACATTTCACTTAAAAAAAAAAACTTGAAGACTGCAGCATGATATGAGCGCCCATTTTATAACCAAGTTTCAGTAGTATTTTCTTTGATAATCAACAAAACGATGCTGCGTGATTGCATTTTTTTCTGAAGAAACAGATTTGACTTTTTTATACATATTTGCTCAAAGAGGGAACTTACAGAATTCTCTAAAAATTACGTTGTAGATAAGAGCTTTGCGTTTTCAAAATATTTAGTTTCGTTCTCAACCCAGTGACCTAATAAAATTGTATATGATAAAAAAACGCTTAACGCAAATTGAGGCAGGTTAGACTTTACCTACTTATGTGCTCATAAAATTCTACAAATTAAAAAAAAAATGTAACTGCATTATGTTCCTTTCAATATCAGTGGCCCCTTTTCCACTTTAGGTTTTATGATAAAAAATTTACATACGCAGCTATAAAAAATCTTCACTATTAAGCAATTACCTACACCCCCTAATTTTCCGGACATTTTTTTTTTGTATTTAGCTTCAACAATTAAGCACTTGTACTTAGGCATTGCCGTCACAGACACATTGAGAACGTACATATGTACACTTGTGCTTCTAGTTTGCTCATACTTGGCCTGGTACACTTGTAACTCCGCGCCACTCTACCCATTTCGGTTCATACAAATTTGTGCGAGCGTATGCGGGTGTAGGGCTATGCCTAAATAAGGGGCCTACATTAAACACTTAGTACGCAATGTGCCATTTAAAGATACTAAAACAGTTGGCAGCATTTTATGTATTTAGCATTTGCGCTTTTTTACATACAAATGAACGCACTTACATACCATGCAGATTGCTTCTTTTGTGTTAGAGCGCGCAAGCGTTTAACGCTTAGCGGCCCTTTGGGGGCGTTGGGTTGACTGCTTGTCGGCTGATGGCTGCTAGCTTGGAAATTCAAAATGTTAAACGGAGCGTAATGAGCTGCTGCACACCAGATTACGACAGCAGCGATTTATTACGGAAGCGTACTTATGCATTCATGAATAAATTAACAATTGCCGAGTGCGACTTTTGTCATTGCTTTAATTCTAATACTTAATTTTTATACAAATTCTTTCTTTTCATTCATTTATTCTATCGTTTGCATTATGTTTATTTAAATTAAAAGAAGAATTTTGGATAGGGTTTAATAGTCCTTCCCAGACGTTTGAAATTTTTAAATGTTTATTTAAAATTTTCAATTAAGTATTATCCGGTAATGTTTTTTTTTCAAATTTTCAGTGGTTAAACCAGTGTTAAATAAAATTTGTATTTTCAATCTTTACTAACGAAGCATCAGCAGGGCTTCCGTAAAGTTTACAATACCACCATAGCACTAAACGCCATAAACATTCAGCCTTAACCGTAACCGCCCCTACGGGAAAACCATCCTAGTAACAGGAGACAGGTCACAAAGACTCAAACGGTGGATATCGAATTATCTGATTCGTGGACCATCGTCAACGAAACTTCGAAACCACTGGGCAGCACCTCGCCCCATTTCTATTAAATTTCTATCATTCGAGGCTCTACCGCCAACATGGAGAGTTTCGCTGATCGATCTCATCCACTTACGATTGTTCGATTGTGTTTGAAACTATCTCCCTTCTTCTCGTCTGCACCACCTGGACAAAAGTTATGTGACTGTACCC